CTGATCATCTGCTCCTCACTGTCCATACTCCCCACCATCCACAATCTCCCACACTGGAAGTGATCTGTCGGTTCTCTCTTCTGCTAACTCACTGTGCAATGGGCTCTGAGGCAATAGAGAATCTCTATGTTGCTTATGAGCGTAGGATCTGGATTCAAATTTTGGCTCTGATACTTCCAGGCTATGTGATCTATCAAGGTAGTTAACCTGATTGAGCCTAAGTTTTCTCATCTGTCAAATGGGTATAAATAATCACACCAAGTCATAGGATTATAATGAAGATTGTATTGTTATCTGTGCTTTCTCTAAGGCACTTGCCATCTCCTACTCTGTTGATATTTTATCTCCTTCCAGACTGGGAGTTCCTGAAAAGCAGGAAGGGAATCACATCTTGCCTGTGTCTTTGACATATGGGATCCGCTGCAAAAGCTCCTTTAAGGGAAGGGATTCCACACAATTTAACTGGTGACATGAGTGCAGGCTCATTCCTAGTGGAAGGTTCCAGTCACACAGTGCCAGGCCTGGCTGGAAGCTTTGAGGTATGGAGCTTTGGACACACGCAGTACTTGCTGGATAGGCCTCTGGCTCCTGCCACTTCAGTGACAGGAAAGAGGCTAGAGCCTATGTTCAGCCGGTTCTTCCCCTTTGCCAAGTTGGGCAGTGCTGGCATTTCCCTAAGCCTCAAGGTAGAGTGGAAATCCTGCTTGGAACATGATACTTAGTTTCTTTCCTGGGTCTTCCATGGGTGAGACTTCTAGATGAGAGGAAAGGGTCCATGGAATTGTGGGTTTGGGACGTTTGGGATAACTCTGAGAGCCCAAACTCTTCTGACTTCTCTGTGGGTGGGGCCTTTCAGAGGAAGCTCCTTTAAAAACTTCTGCCATTGCTATGCTTGAGCGCTGACCATGGAAAGGCGATTCCATTCTTAAAAAGATAGTACTACCATTTAACTTTCTCTTGAGTCATTTCTCAAAGTGCCATACTTGGATCGTGAGTCTCAAGATCCAAGTATTTTAGCCTGGCACACAGGTCCTCCATGTTCTGGCCGCAACATTCTTTTCCATCCTCATGTCCTGCTGCATCCCTCCATGTGCGCTGCCACTGGCCTCATCAGATTAGTCACTTTCCCCAAGAACTCCCTGAACTTGTCCTCCTTAAGGCCTTAGCACATCGTGTTCTCTGGGCCTATTTCCTCCCCCTCATACGTGGAAATCCTCTTGGGTGTTCAGGCTCAGTTTAGAAGTCATCTGCAGAGTTCTTCCAGACCCTCCAAACAACGTTGCATGTACTTGTGCTTTGCACACTTTTCTTTTTGTTGTGTGTATTCAAGCAGGTCTCCAGTTAGGTTATGAGCTCTTTGAGAACTCAAAGCATGCCTAAGTGCCTACACCTGCTAGGTCCATGCACTGTGCCTTGCTATGGACAAGAGGTGCTAGCAGGCGTCTGTTTTGTGCACCTCTGAATGTGGGGCACATGACATCCTGTTAGCTAACACTTGCATCTGAGTGGTGTTCAGAAGCACATACTATAGTTATTGGTGATTTGTTTCATCGTGAGTCCAGTTATTTGAATTCTTTCTTTGAATTGGCCTGATATCAACTCATTGGTAACCTTTCTCAGGTCTGTTTTCGCATATACTGGGCAGATGCCTGCTTAGAGCCTGGGCTCTGAGCTTACTTCATTTAAGAACATAACAGGAAGGTAGAATTCAGGAGGGATCTATCTGCTTCTAATATTAACCTTTTTTTTTTTTGGTTTGAAAGTTAAGCTTTTACTTTTTTATCCCAAAGCTCCTCCTCGAAATGTAGAAACAGCAGAAGAGTTTTTTGTTTTGTTTTGTTTGTTTTTTAGGTATATGTAGTAGAATAGCTGCACATAGTAAGGTTGTCAGTGCAAAGTAATAAAACCTGTGCCATGGAGCTTTATTTAGAAGACCAGGGTTCAAGTACTGGCTTTAACATTTCCTACTCTTCAAAGACTAGGGTTCAAGTACTGGCTTTCATGTTCCCTAGTCCTGAAACCTTGCCTAATCTCCCTGACCTTAGTTTCCCCAATGGATAATTGGAAAATCTTTTTTATAAGGTTGGTGGACAGGTTGAATGAGATTCTGTACATTAAATTGGGATTTTTTTTCCCTGCTGTACAGTTCATAAACTGGGTTTGAAGGCCATTTTTAAATAGTTCCCCAAAGTTTTCCTTTGAAGGGAAATGCTTGGATGTTTGTTTTCATTCACTTGTTTTATTTATTTTCTTGAATGAAAAAGAAATGAATTTATAGTCAGGGGATATGTGGCATCTAACACACTTAGGGAACATACATGGCTTGTAAGACTAAGTTATAGTCCATATAATTAGAATGGCAGAACCATATGCTTTGAGACATTATAAAAACTTTAGCAGCCACAGTTCTAATGCAGACTTCGTGCATGCTGGATATGGAATCCCAGGACATGGTTACAATCTCCCTGATGGGTAATAGCCCCGTTTTGCAGACAGGGAAGCTCAAGCTTAGAGAAAGTAGAACTTACATAAATCTAATATCAAGCTTTGAACTTCATCCTGAACTTATAATGACCTCCAGAAATCCTTTCTATCTCCAGATGTGACAATTCCTGCTTGACTTTGTTTATCCTTTATCCTCTCACTCCAGGGGCAGGCCCTCATTCCAGGCTGGATAAAGCAGTGGACATCGGCAGTCTCAATGTCTCATACTTGATTAATGAAGCTAGATGAGTGTCTTGACTTTTCCTTCAAAGAATCTGCTCATTTTGAACTCCTTTGAATGCACTCATTCATCAGCCTTTACTTCTTTTTTTCTCCTTTTTTAGAAGATATTTGCCTTTCTCCACCTCTGCTTTTGAGGTCAGGAGTGTTTGAAGAGGACTTCGTATTTTTTTTTTTTTTAATGTGTGGGAAATTCATTGAATATTTCCCATCATCTCCTCCAACCATGTGGTGGTGGGAAGAGAAAGCACAGTGTTGGGAGTTTGGAGCCATGGTTCTCATCTTGATTCTGTCACTGACCAGTGAGAGGACTTTGAGTCAAACCTTCCTTTTCCTGTTAGGGGTCTCAAGTGTCTTCATCTGTAAAAATGATGGTACTACAAGATACTCCTAAGATTTGAAATTTCTGCATGATTTACGGTGTCAAAACCATCAATTTTGCTGAGCGGCCTAATTCTGCAGCTGTTTCTCTTATACTTTTCAATCTTTAGATTTAATCTATTCAACAATATATAATTTTTTAAAGGGAAGCTTTTATAGACACTTCTGAAATATAAGGGTGGTGGTGGGGATAAATGGATGTTAAAAAATAGAAAACAACCAATTAAATAGTATATAGCATGTAATTCTCCTTGGAAACTTACCATGAAATTGAGGAGCACTTTAACAACTGGTAATTTAAATTGCATTTGAACTCTGTTAATGGTTTGTTTGCATGAGAACTTCAATCATTTCACAGCCCTTCTTCAGCAAAGCTACTTGTTCTCATTATGGAAAAAAAATATTAAAAGAGAAGTTGACTAAGGAAAAGTGAGGCCACTTTCATTTGTGCATTTGAAGGAAGCTGGCAAGAGTGTGAGAGGTTGCCTGAGGGCCAAGGTTGGAGAGCCTTGCCTTTCAGGGAAGCTTAGAAATCTGGGAAGTCAGGCACCCGTTGTGGCAGTTGTAGAAACTGCTGTGATTTATATCTCCCTCTGCAAGGAAAAGCTTAGGTTTCCTGGGCCTTGTGGGTGGAGGCTGTCTTTTGTTTTCTGTATGACCGTGCTGTCCACAGGTCCAGTACTGGCCTCCTCATTCTTCATTCCTCAGCAAGTTTGAAATTATGCCTTTCTCTCATTTCAGTGGAATGGCTTTGAGAATTCTAATGTTCTTGAAAACCACTAGTTCTCAGGAAACTCATTGCTGTACTGGGCTCATCTTGATTACTAGTATGCTGTTGTCTAACTTAATTCTTTCTGCTGTCGGGCTGTACTCTGAGAGCTTTGAAGCAGGTGTTCAGAGACTTGAGTATGGGACTCTGGATTGTGCTCCAAAGCCTATTATGTGACCAATGGACAGTCCCTTTGCCCAATGAGTCTCCCTACCCTTTGTCAAAGTGGCAGTCACTGGGTCTAGTGGACAAGCCCTGGACTGGAGCCCTGGATTGTCTGGTACTCATGGTGGGGACCTGTAGTGGCCACCTCCTTGTTCTGGCCCCAGCTTCTCCTCCTGTCAGTGGGAGAGTTGATGTGGGTTATTTTATTATGATCCTGCAACTTTGATCTTATATGGATATTTGAAGACTGAATGAGAAAATATACATGAAACAATTGTGTGATTGATTTAATAATATCTAAAATGATGACAATGAAAATAAGATTAGTAGTTTTTCTAGTATGTGGATCTCTCCTGCATATAAAAGACACATTTAAAGCAGCCAGCTGCTTCGGCATCTGTGTGTGTTGGAATATATATTGCATCATTCTTAGCAAATAGTAATAGCTCTTAATTAAATGAAACCTGTTATGAGGATTTCCTGGCAAGTGTCAAGATTGTCTAGCTCTCTGCTCTTCACTTGCTCTTACTTTTCAGGCAAGGGAATCAAGGTTCAGAGGGCTTGCTTGCTCCTATAGTTAGAAATGTGTCTGCAAACTCATATCCCTTGTTTCTTTTTATTTGTTGTAGTTCAGATTTTGCTATTAGCTTTTTTTCTTGCCTACCTAACATGTATCTAACTAATTGATCTGTCTCTTTCATCTGTGATATTACCATGAAGCTATTTTCCTAGGAGAGCTGAGGATGAACACTGGGGGGCTGGCATTCTCTTTCTCCACCATTCTGAGACAAATTAGTGAAATACAAGTGCCAGGAGCTTAGGAGGAATAGAGGTGAGCCACTAGATCTGTGGGTTTCAAGCCTGGCACCCTTCTCACTATTGCCTGGTCAGTGAGTTCATAAACCCGGAAGTTCTAAAGCTGCTAAGATCCTAGAAATTCATGAGCAATCTTCTTCTCCAGTTTCCCATAGGTGGGATCACTGAGGCTCAGCAAGAGAACTGAAGACGGAATCCACTCACCTGATTCTCAGTTTAGGGCTTTTCCTAAACTGAACACTCATTGGAGGGAAGAGATTTCTTCTTCAGTTGGTAAGTCCTATGCAGAAAAGAAGACTTTTCCTTTTTATACTCAATTTGCATGTTTTAAAAATCAGTGTTTTCCATTTAAGGTAAGCATGACACTAATAATTAACATGGACGAAGAACTAGAGGAGAACCAAAATGTTCTTTCTTTTTTTCTTAAGCTAATTTCATTGGCAATGGATGGAATATAATAATGCTAATAAAATGTGTGGCAAAGAAAAGGCAGGACTCAGCTCTTAGAAGTTGGCTTGAAGAGAGACTGGAAGAAAATTTGGAGAAATGATGATTTCCGGTGGCTGATAATTGTATTGCTTCCTTCTTTCTCCTTTGGCATGGAGGAAAGTGTTCTTGAAATTGAAAGACCAAAATGAAAATGTCAATGACCAGTTTTATGGACATCTGTGATGAAAGAAAGTAATATTATTGAGTGGTTTTTTTAAAAACCCCTTTATATGGTGCTTCTTTTGTGATTTCATCTTATTTTCACAACAATCTGTTCAGGTAGGGGAGGCTAACTTTGCTTAAGCAAAAGGTTGAACACTATGTGTTAAAGGGTCTGAGTTCGAATCCTGTTGCACATTCAGAAAGGGGACTGGTGACCAGGTAAAGTAAGATTTCCCTTGTGTTTTGGAATTCCTCTGTGTTTAGAGGGTAGAATAGAACATCATGTTCTAGAAAAGAGGGGTGGTAGGAAGAATCAATACTGTGGGCTACCCTGGGCTGGGGGGAGACTTGAGGCAAGTAGCTGGGGAATTCTGGGACAGGCTTCTATTTAGAATTCTAGATCTGTGGTCTCCATCTTGAGGGCCAGTCTGTCTGTGCCCCAACCACTGACTTTATACTGACTACATAATATGGCTTCCCTTGCTTATGATGTAGTTTTTCCAAGCAAAGCAGATGCTCTTGTGATTGATAAAATCTAACTTTATTTAAAAGTGTGGCTCAGTTTACAGTTACATTTCATTGCCCTTTTTTTTCTTCATCAATGTATCTTAAAAGAACAACAGACTTTCTACGCCTATGGATCTGCATAAGATAAAAAGCTGGAAACCATGGCTTTGACTTTTAGAGAGTAGCCTGTTAAAATTTCAAGCATGATTTTGAATGCTTTATCCCAAGCATACTTTTTAAGCATCCAATGTGGATCTTTGTTACCTGTTCTATTTTCTGAAAATTTTTTCAGTGTTAGAAATTAAATTGTGATGAATATGAAGCCTTGCATTTGGATAAAAAAAAAATCTAGTTTGCAATGATAGAGTGGGAGAGAGTACCTAAACAGGAGTGAGCTGAAAGAGACAAAAGGAATTTTTGTTGTCTGTAAGCTAATTTATGAGCCAACAGTGGCTTTTGTCCTTACTGATGCAGCCTTAAGCTGCATTGAACAGAGTGTTATCTAGAATCAAGTTGGGGGTGGGGGGGCGGGGAGAGGAAGGTTCCCTGATGGAAACCAGCACGTTTAGTGGTGATGTGGGCATCAGGACTAGTTTGAGCAAGCACAGTTGTATCTATGCTGTGCTCCTTGTTCTGCCCTCTTCTATGTGTTGGCTTCATTGTCAGGATGTTTCACCTCATGATCAGGAGATGGCTGCTCACTTGCCATTTGGGGAAAGAGAGCCCTGTTTGCCATATCCCCATAGACTTGGGAAATTGCATTCCTCTGCACCAGTCACTGAGGCCACAAGGAGGACACTGTGTTAATTGGCATGTATGACCTGAGGCTCTGCTCTGAATATTAAAACAATATCTCCCCGACCTCATGGCAGCTACACAGTACGATATGGTGGTCCCTCAAAAGAACATCTGGGTGCTATTAGGAAGGGGAGAGAGGACTAAAGCTATGTGAGTGACTATCAACCTCCATTCAGAGCTCCCCTAGAGTGTCAGACTTTAGTCCTCACCTCATCCTCTGAAAGGGACTTGAGCCAACGGGACTGTCCTCATGAGGATGCTGAGAGGACCGGAAGTGATATCCCACCAGGAACTGTTACAGGAATGAGAGCCCAGAGAACTTTATGGCTTTAAGGCTAGAAAACCCAGTCAAACGAGAGTCAGCATCTCTTGTTCATGAGTTTTCCCCAGAGTCTCGTGGGATGTCTGGCACATGGTCGGTGCACAATGCATTTTCATGGAGATAAAGAAGAAATCCAAAGGCAGTGAGTGTTCCTTTCCATATGGGTGGTCCCTCAGGCACTGGCAAGTGCTCTGTTGGAGTATTTTAGGAGTTCTAGCACAGATGAGGCTGGACTGTATGGTTTTATGAGGGTGAAGAAATGACTGGACAGAAAAAGGCTTTTGGGACCAGTATGGCTTAAAAAAGTTTGTGAGTTCATAAAAAGGCAACAAATATGATGGGATGGGGTATCAGAAGGTCTTACAATGATTAGATGTGCAACCCTAAAAGAACAAGGTCCCTCTGCCTTCATTTCCCTGATCTGAGAATTAGGAATAATAATCATTGCCCTGTCTACCTCTCATGTTTGTTTAGATCAAATGGGTTGATAGATGCTAACCTGTTTTGTAAACTATAAGGTGTGGCCCATACACGACAGGTTAATCCTTTTGTTTCATTTTTTAGTTTAAAGGCTCATCTTGGACATACAGAAAAATAAGGTGATCTAACGTGTAGCCCCCAGTGCCCTACCTGGTACACAGGACATACTCAATGTATGTCCTTTTGTCTAACCCTGAACCACCACCATCACCAAGGTTGGATAGGCACTGATGTGTTCTCAGTATTGGAAAGGAGTTATATCTGCAATCTTGCTCAATGATGGCCGTTGATATTGACATGAAATAGTATATCATTATTACTTTCCATATTTATTTTTGTTCTAGACTGTAGGAGGTGGAACAAGGTAGATCAGAGATGAAGCATCAGTGCTTGAGAAAAACCCTAGAAACTACAGTCTAACAGGTTGGCTCTTGCTTTGTTTGATTAGCTAATCACACCTTCTGCTCCAGGCGTGACTGGCCCAGTGGGAGTCAGGAAGGAAATTATTTTCCTCTGTTGATACTAGTGTATAATTGTTGACGGTAGCCAAGGGCTTTCAGTTTTAATATTTCCTCTTTGGTTCTCAGAATAATCAGGTAGTAATCTCTGCCGAAAGCAAAACATTGGTCACTTCCACTTGACTTTGAGAGGTATGTCTTGGCTCTCTACAATTACTTGGTCAGGTGGTTTTTTGGGCATGTGTGACCATCTGCTTGGTCACCTTTCGCTGCTTCTATGTTATTGCTTCAAAAATTGCAAAAGGACTTGCTTGGTCTGAGCAGGGAACCATTCAGCCCCCTGAGACTTTTTGTTCTTTTCTAGCCCAGGGATGTCTTGTATGAGGTCTTTGCTGTCCATGAAAGTAAAAGGAAGAGCTCTCTTTCTCTCTTTCTTGCTTTCTGCCTTTTAATTTCACATTCTTCTATTGCCTGACCTGAGGAGAGTGCAGACATCTGTACTTTGAGGAGGGCTATGGAGTCAGAGGAATTTTCATTAGGTTACTGTGCAATAGAAAGGGTCTGATGCTGAATTGATGGAGAGCCTCAAGAGTCCTTTGTAGATTGCTGCCAAGTATCTACCCATGTTCACAGAAAGTATGCTTGTTCTCTACCCTGATCTCCGTGTTTGTCTGGAAGTCAGTGAACCTCAGGACATCACAGTGAAATAGGCACAGTCCCTGACCTCAAGAAGCTTACAGTCTAGTTAGAGAGAAAGACAGTGAAATATACCTTAGAGAAGTATTGTTTATAACATACATTCAGGAATCACCACATATGTTTCAGGCCTCACATTAGGTGCTTGGAAAATCAAGGTAAGTGATTTATAGGCTCAGATCTCATGGGGCTTATGTGAAAGGTTGGGAGAGTCGAAATAATTGAGACCATTGGGAAAGGTTTTCAGGAGGAGGGAATCTGCTCTCAGAAGTTCTCAGTGAGCCATGGAGCCTTATGACATAAGCCCAGGGGCTTGGCAGGTTGGGCCTGTGGCTATAGTTTGGCTCACTAGGGCTGTGCAGAATACAGCTGGGCAGGATGGAGTTACTTATCTTGCATGTGTGGTTCTGGCTCTAGTTCATTCTGACCAATGGACTGTAGCTGGATGTGTCTGTTGACTTTGAACTGCACTGACATTTCCATGGCCACCTCCATGTGGCCAGAGCATGCTTGCATCTGTGTTTCTAAACTAGACAGCATCTCTGCATTCTGGGGCACAAAGGTTCCTTTTTGAGAGTTTTGACAGTGAATCTTTTATAGTCTACTGCCCAGGCCTCATGAGAAGTGGTGGAGTTGGTAGGGGCCATTAAAATAATCTCAAACTTGGATACTGTCTTTATTATCTATTGATGCATACCAAATTACCCCAAATTTAGCACCTTTAAACAAACAAAAAACAGACAAACTCATTAACAATAAATCTATCAGAGAAGAGGATTAGCAGGATGGCTGCATTACTCACAGTTTCGATCTGGGAATTCTGGATGTTTGGGTGTGAGAAGTGGTGGAGTTGGTAGGGGCCATTAAAATAATCTCAAACTTGGATACTGTCTTTATTATCTATTGATGCATACCAAATTACCCCAAATTTAGCACCTTAAAACAAACAAACAAAAAACACACTTATTATCTCACAGTTTCTGTGTCAGGAATCGGAGCAGCTTAGATGGGTGCCTCAAGGTGTCTCTCAGAGGTTGCAGTCTGGGTGTCTGCTGGACTTACAGTCTCTTTCTAAGGCTCAATGAGGAAGGGGGTGGAGGGATGCATACCAAACTGATAGGACTGTGGGCAAGATTCAGTTACTCACTGGTTGTTGGACTTTGGGCCTCAGTTACTGATAGTTGGCTGGAGGCCACCTTCAGTTTCTTGCCATGTGGGCCTCCCCATAGGGACGGTCTCAACATGGCCGCTGGCTTCCCTCAGAGTGAGTGAGTAAGGCATGCAAGCCAAAGCCTTTTGTAATCTAATCCTGAAAGTGACACATTGTTCCCTGTGCCTCATTCTATTTGCTATAAGCAAGT